GGAGCCGCCTCGCCCCTCACACCCGCCCGCCCCTTCCCGCCCTCCGGCCCCCGGCGCTGTCATGGCGGCTCCCGCCCACCAGGCAGCGCCCTGAGCCCGGGAATGGCGCCGGGACCGTTCTGGCTCTCTGCAAGGCGCGGGCGGGGAGCTGTTGCACACTGTGCGAGAGGTCCCATTTCCTGATGAAGAAAGGATGTCCTGTAACGCTTGAGCTTTGCACACTTCCAAACCTGATCAACAAGAAGAGACATTTAACCTGTGCCGCACATAGCAGCCTGCAAGCTCGGAGTGATGGCCAGGTGTTAGAAAAGCAAAGTACTTGATGCTAGAATGGTCTTTGAAGACTCAGGGCTGGGCACGTTTCACTGATCTCAGACCCAGAGTGAAGCTGACAAAGCTTGGGAAGAAGGACGCCCACTGATAGTGGACACAAAGGATGCACAATTTAGGGGCCATAAGGACATCTGTTAGAACTGCCAAGATAAGGAAAACACTCATAAAGTCAACTCAGCAAACATGCTGAAATCAGCTCCAGCTGGGTAAAAAAGTGTGCTGTTTGCAGGCAACAGGACTTTGGCCCCCAGATTACCCTGGGCCTGGCCATGGGATGGTTCCGGTCGCCAGAACACACAAAAAGACAGCTCAGCGCAAGTGCTGGGCATTGTGCTTCAAGAACCCAGATGAAAAATCTGGTGAGGCTGTGCTGGATTCTCGTGTGGTATCTACCCCTTTTCTCTTCTTCTCAAAATATATTGTAAGCCTGACTAAAAAACCCTAGTTCGAGCCATGCTCACTGCCTTATTCTCAAAACTTGCAGCTGACTTAGAGGTTTAGTACCTTACAGAGCGGGTTTGAGGCCCTGGAGCTGGAGGGACAGACAAGTGATGAAGTGGGCAAAAGTCCTTCTGGAACAGAGGGGGCACCTAGGGTAAGACAGCCAACACCATGTGTTGTGGCCACCTCTGTTCCGAAGGAAGGCAGGGTCCTTGCAGGCCTTCCCAAAAGCATCTCAAGGGAAGCTTTCCGTCTCCCCTGCCCCGTTTCCTTGACTTTAGCTGAATCTTTCTCTCACAGAAAGACAGTGTGAAATGCAAAGTTGTGTTTTGTGTCAGGTAAATAAAGGTAACCTGTGTAATTGTAATTGTGAAATGTGTGGAACACAGCCATGGGACAGTTATAAAGATGAGTTCTAATAAACAACTGAGGAAAGCGTGAAAGAAGGCTTGTGAACCAATCTTTTGCTTGCAAATAACAATTATAAGTCTGTGGGATTCCTTAAAATCAGAGGGTTTTGGGTGCCTTAGCGCTCTCTCTTGTCCCCCTTTTCGTCCCAGCTAGCTCAGTGAGGGGGGGGGGAGCGCTGGCAACTTCCGTGTTTTCCGGCGAACCCTCGCGGGTAACTGCCGGTGCTGCGTGGGTCTGGGAGCTTAGGCGAGTCCCGAGGCGAATAAAGGAGAGAGACCTTTTCCCCCGCGGGCGAAATCTCGGTTTATTATGGCTTGGTTAGGGAGGAAAAAACCGAGAAGCTGCTGCGTGCTAAGTTCGAGTTTGTCCGTGCCGCCTGGCCGATTCAGGGGCGGGGCGGCGCGCTCCGGCGCTGGCCGCGATCCAAGAGACGCTGTGTGCAGAGCCGCGGCGCTGCTGCCGGCACGTGCAGGAGCCGCGGCGACCGCGGCAGCGGCGGCGGCTGCGGTTCGGCTGAGGCGGCGATCGCGGGGCAGCCCGGGGCGGCCGCGATCGCCTGGGGCAGCGGCGGCGGTTGCGGCAGGGGCCGGGAGAGAGAGAGAGCCGCGGCAGCACGCAGGGATCCGGCGGGAGAGGAGGCGGCGGGCCGGGCAGCAGCGGCAGTCGGGGGCCGGGCGGGAGAAAAAGCACCGGGGCGTCCCCAAACCCGTTCTATAAATACTCTAGAGGGGAAACCCGGGGCGGCCAATGAGATAACGCCACGGGGGGACTTGGGGATAGTGGGGTGCAGGGGTCCAATGGGAGATGGACAGATGGAAGGGTGCCCGGTCGTCTCTCGACCCCGCCGCATGGCTGACAGATGGTCTGAGAGACGTAAACAAAGTGACTAAGCACTTCCTCGGGAAGGCAGACTGCGGGGGGAAATGGGAGAGCCCGGAAGGTCACTTACAGAGTGCGGGGGGATACATGGAATGACCTTATACATAATAGAACATATAATAACACAATTCCACATTTGGGCACGTTGCAAAAGGCAGGCCTCAGAGACACCAGGATTGTGATTAGAGCTAAGCAGTAGCTATAAGATTTGTCAGCAGAAAAATTATACAAGAAGTAGAAAGAAAGAACAAATAGAACAATAGTCTGTGTATTAACGCTTGGGTAGAATAACTTCCTAAGTTGCAGAAAAGTATATCTAGTGAGATATTAGGAAGTTCTAGGCTTAATAATGGAGCTCTGTGCATTGTATCTTGAGGCTTGCAAGCAAGTATTGTATTCGAAATAAGCCAGCATTGTTTTAACCAAAGGTACGTGTATTTATAGTGATTGGATAGAACTACTGTCAATATGCTTTTGCTTCGTGTGATTGGTCAAAAAGCTTATAAAGTAAGTGGTAACATTAAGTTCTTGGTCTGTTGCCTGGCATGTGAGCTGCTGGCATCTTCCCATTGTCATAACCCTGTAATGAGACTGATGCTAAAAAATAAACAGCTCGAGACGCATACCACAGCAGTCCCGTCCTGTTTGTGACTTGTACATAGCCCCCAGCCGGTGATATAAGTCTTAAGCTGTTTTGCAATATGAACCTTTGTATTATAACTTTAGAATATTGCTTAGTATATAAGGATTTTAGACTGTATCTTTAGAATGTATAAAGGATTTAAACAGAAGAGGGAAGTGAACCTATCCCAAGCTCCTGGAAAAGGAAGATGGACATCAATGTTCTTGATTAATGATTTCAAAAGGGGAAGCTGGACATCACTATCATAGATTAATGGTCTAGAAAATAGAAGCTGGACCCCACCGTCCATCCTGGGATGTACATCCTAGGATATTGAAACCTGGACTAGATCACAATAGAGTATAGCAATTGGAAAGGAACCAGACATCACCATCATAGTTTTATGATCCTAAAGTATAGAATTGTGACGTCAAAAGGTAGAAATAGAAACTTCTGGAAGCGTGCGTAAAAAAATGTGAAATAGAAACTGCTGGAAAAACCTTATGAATATGATCAATAAATACCAGCAAGCCCAACAATCAGTGTGCAGTTGGAGGGGAAAACCCCCACCACTGTACCCAGCACTGTCTTTGCTCATACATTGCCATGTTAATGAATAAATCAAATTGCTGCTTGATATATTGGCTGAGTCAAGCTTCTAATTTCTAACAACAGGAAGCTCAGGTGTGTTAGGAGATTACTGTGAGCATTGGCAGAGGTGAATAGTCAGGAATCCCGAGGCTTGTGCAACACTCTTCCACAGAGAATCCCTTGTTATGGATTTCCAATGAACCAGAGCTTAAACGGCAAGTCAGCGACTGGGGAGATGCACCACTGAGACAATAAAGCTGCAACATGCCTTGTTTTGAGAGGGACAATTACGACAACAAAAGTTCAAACAGCAACTACTGGGAAGATGAAGAAAAACTATTTTTTCTAAGGTTTTCTAATGTTTGTTTTCTTCTCTGTGCCTTGTGAAAATTGCCTAGCTCCTATTTTCTTTGTTTTCTTTTTTCCTGCCTTCAGAATGAATCTTGCATTATGGGTATTTGAAGTCAGATATAAGAAAAGGTCTCTATTGTTTTCATATATTGTTTGGCAGTCATGAAAAGGGAAGTTTAGAAGTGAGAAGCTTTATCTTTGATAATTAGATCAGACTCAATTTTAAATGCCCTTGCATGTCATGCTTGTTTGCAAAGATGCTAGATTGATCTTTGATGGGCATTCAACCAAGAAACAAGTGCATCAAAGCCTCTGGAGGTGGCTTCCATGGCAAGTTTCCCTGAGGTGTGACAGCCCCAGCCCCGCTCCATGGCCAGTTTCCCTGAGGTGTTGTAGACCCAGCCCCGCTCCATGGCCAGTATTCCTCAGGGCGGTCCCACCTCCCGTGCCAGGCGGTTTGTGTTGCACAGCCCGGGCTGGATGGGGGGAGCCCGGGCAGCCATTTCGAACAGGGCCTTTAATACCGCCCCACTCGTTCTGCCCTTTCCTGGCATTTTTCGACAGAGCTGTGCTTATCGAGGTTTGACTCTGTTCCCAAGCTCTGCATTCCCGGCAGCCAGTCCTACACGTCCGCACCGTGCCCACCCTATTTCGGGGGTAAAGCAATGCGCCTGCCTTTCAGCCATCTGTGCGGGTCCAAGGTCTGCGTGCACACAGGATAAAGAACTGACTTGTTTGCGTGGACACCTTATGTTTTGTTTTGCACACTTGTTTGTCCTCTTTTCTTTACTAAATATCTTCAGTGTTGCTATTGCAGTCATACTTGTCTCTGTCGCTGCGCTGTGTGACGACACCACCGTTGTGTTCCCCAGACCGCAGAGTTTCTCCGCTAGTCCTGCGGATCACCGGGGGTGTTGTTCCTGACCCGTCTTTGGCCACTCTGGCGCTAGCCAGGTCGCAGTCCACTAGTGGCTGGATGCGCGCGACACAACAGGTAAGCAGTGGGGAAACATCTCAGGTTGGAGACTAAGGGCAGGAACAAGGTCCTTTTTAATTAGCTACATCCTTAAGTGACTTGTCACTTAATACATGGTGACACAGAAATCAAGCTATTTAGCACAGACTTCTTTCCTGCCAATAGAAATATCAAGACCTAATATGGTGTCATGGTTTGACAGGGAAGTAAATTTTCTCAGGAAGTTGTGGTCAAACCAATCAGTGGTCAGGTTTGGATACTGGCACTTGGAGTGGCCACTGAAGGCATTGGACACGCCTCTGAGAACACAGGGGGTTAAAAGCAAGAGCTCCCAGGGGAACTGTCTCTTTGGTTCCGGTCAGCAGAAGGGTGCAGACTCTCCCTGCCCAGCCACAGGCTGGGTGGGGTAGGGAAGCCATGTGGCCTGGAAGAGGGAGGCCCAGGGGGTGAAGGGACTGGAACCAGGCCAGCCCCTGCAGATGGAAGGGTGGAGAAAATCTGAGATGTCTTTGTTCCCCCCTGCCGCCCCCCAGAAGGAGAGAGAGTGAAAGAGACAGAGACTGTGCCGGCAGTAGGCCGCCAGAGGAGGAAGAGGAGGAGGGGAAGGTGCCCAGCCGTGGGAGTTGGTGTTCTGGGACGAGATTTCAGCCGTCCTGGGAGTCTAAGACTTTTAACCCCTTCTTGGACAATGAAAGCTTTGTGAAATATTACTCCTCCTTGGTCTGAAAGAGAAGAGAGACGGCCTGGGGCTCGAGATGTCAGAAGAAGATGGGGAAAGATCCTAAGTGGGAGGAGATGACGGAGTGGCTTTTGGCTGGACTTTTCTTGTATAGCCATAGACTGAACCATTTTCTCCTGCAACAGAGACTGCATTTTTAAGGGAATGCAATGGTTGGAGCCAAGAGAGTGACCTGCTGCAGTGACGAGGAGCGTGTGGTGGTACCCTCTATCTTCAGGAAGAAGAAGATCTCTGTTCTCGAGACTCTAGGCTCCAGGGGAGGAGAAAATGGGGGGGACTGTTGTACCAAAAATGAGAAACTGAACTTTGGTCCTTGGTAAAGCATCCTTGAAAGGAAACCCTATGAGCAGTTTTGGTCCATGTACAGTGGTGAGAGCACTGTGACATGGAAAGGAGGGTGTCACACTGGCAGATTTTCTCCAGGCAGTGCCATGTGTGACATGGAAACACAAGAGGTGGCAATTGTGCTCCCTGGGGGTCTATGGTGCAAGAGAGACTCCTCTCTCCCCCAATGAGCTGAGTATTATCTAAAGGGTGGTAACTTGATTGAGGGTCCAAGTTTTGTCTCAGTGTGCTCTGTTGGAAATTAGGTGGGGGGAGGAGGAATGTTTTGGAAGGTTTTCATTCTGGATTCAGTGTGTGTCTTTTATCATAGTAGTAGCCTCTTAAGTTTTTTCCTTTGTTTTTAAGCTTGAGCCTACTCTGCTCTGGTCCTGATCGCATCTCACAGAACTCATTTGGGGAGCGTTTATTTTCATGGGGACTCTGGCATTGTGCCAGCGTCAAACCATGACCTATGGTTTTCTCACAGACCTGCAAATCGCAGGTGACCATTCTCACCTTCACTTACGGCAGTGAACTGATGGACTGGAAAGAAAAGTTGAGGCTACGCGCTGCTGTTGGAGGTCCCAGTTGAGGCCTGACGCCTCTGGCGGGAGCGGTTGCTCCTGCGAGACCTCCCTGCTGGTGTCCCCGTGCGCCTGGGCCTCTCAGCACTTGCTGCTCTCCTCCTGCTCCTGTCCTGAGGACTCCTGGACCAGAGAGGTTGATTCGAGGCCTGGCACTGCAGGTGGGAGCAGCTGCGTCTGGGGGATATCCCTGATGGACTCTTCCTTTTCTTGGGCCTCTCAGTACTTGGTCTTGTCCTACTAATGCCGTCACAGTGATGCCTCAATTGGATTGGTTGATTTGGGGCTGACCTTGCTGGTGGGCATGGTTGTGTCCAGGGGATGCCTGTGGAGGTGTCTCCCTTTGCCTGGGCCTCTCAGTCCTTGGACATGTTCTGCCTTTCTTGTGATGGCAAGTCCTCGAGGAAACAGGTCGACTTGGGCCCGACCTTGCTGGCGAGTGCGGCTTCGCCTGTGGCCCTGTCCAGCACGTCTGTAATGGACCCTGTCCTCAGGGTCAGGGGAGCTACTGTACATTAACCTTGGTGTGCTGGGTCTGCTGGTATGCAGTGAGGAAGAGGGCAGAGACTGCTGCCATGCTGGTGGCTGCTGCGGCTGCTGGTCACTGCAGATGAAAACAGCCGTGTGGTCTATCAGCCCCTGCTCCCGTTTCTGTCCCATCAGCAAACTTGCTGAGAGAGCGCTCCGTCCCTTCTGTCAGGTCACTGAGGAATAGGGCAAACAAGGCTGACACCAGCACGGCCCCCTGAGCTCACAGCTCTCTGAGTTTGGAGCTCCACTGCCCACTTCTCTACACCACTGTCCCTGAGCTACCCAATGTCCGTGATATGGGAGGCCAGGACAAAGCCTTGCTGAAGTCCCGGCTGACAACAGCCACTGCTCTCCCCTCACAGACCCAGCCAGTCAGTGCAGCAGAGGTGGCTGTGAGATTGGTCAAGCATGGTTTTCTGTCGCTGTAGAGATGGACATGAGACATACACATACACCTGTGCAGAGACAACAATGGCTTCTTCTTTATTATAAGTTGCCCTCAAGTTTTATACCCCTAAGAAAATGTGATCTTAAGTCATTAGTTACATCAAACAAGCTCAGGATATTCAATGGACAAAGCAATAGCTTATTGTATTTTATGGGTACAAAGCATTTAATGTCAATAATTCATTGCAAGTGTGTATACCACAAACTATAAAGGCACGTATGCTGCTCACTAAGGGACGTATCCTCTAACTACAAGTAACACCGATCTGTTTATGTTCCCATGCTAACGGCCTTGCTTTCTCCCTTGCCATGGATAAACTTGCATTTTATTTATTTCTTCTTCTGCTAACTCAGTTGTTTGCCCTGAAGACAATGTGTCAAGCCCATCCACAGTTCTCCCTTTCTGTTATTCCACAGGCTTAGAGATGACATCCAAGAGGAGCTATTCTGTCACCTTTCTGGGGATGGAGTGAGGCTAATAGGCCTGGAGTTTCCTGGCTCCTTCTTGTTGCCCTTTTGGAAGACTGCAGAGATGCTGGCTTTCCTCCACTGCTCACACCTCTCTCTGGGGCTATCACCTTCCCTGACCTGCTGGAAGAGCGCTCCGAGCCAGAGGCAGGGGCAGAGATTTCCCTTGGACCCAAAAGGGAAGGCTGGGCTCAGGCCGTGTGTCAGTGCGACCTGACAACGGGAGGAGAAGGCAGGGCAGGGACGCTGCTGCCCAGGGACCAGAGGAGCCCCACAGCTCGGGGCTCTGGGCCTGTGCTGCAGGCTCCCCTGCCTCTCCCTGCCCAGAATCAGCGGAGGAACAGCCAGAGCAGACTGCGGTGTTCCTCGAGGCGATGACGGGAGGAGAAGGAGGACAGGAGCAGGGCTCACGCAGGGCTCAGCAGGGAGTAGTGCCCTCGTGGCTCTGGGCCTGTTCTGTAAACTCCCCATACTCTTCTTTCTCCCAGAAAGAGAGAGAGGACCAGCACCTGGAGGAGACTGTGACGTTTCTGGACAGGGACTCACTGCTGACGGCTGCCATGTGCGACAGCAAGCAGGAGGGCCCTGGTGCCAGGGAGCCAGGTGAGGGCAAGGCCACCCTCCCACAGCCGGGCCCAGGGGCTCCTGTGGCAGGCGTTGTGTGGGGCCCAGAGCAGAGGCAGGGGGAGGCAGGAGCTGCTCAGCCATGCCGCGGCTGGGAGCCTCCTTCCTCCCCAAGTGGGGCCCAGCTGGGCCAGGGGGCAGCTCTTGGGACACCCGTGCCCGCAATGGCCCCTGCTCTCCAAGGCCTCCAGCCCTGCCCATCAGCCAGGCAGGCCGGCAGGGACAGAGCAGCCCTTGGGGCCGATGCTGCTGCAGCCAAAGAGCCCCGCAGAGGTGCTCATGCCCGCTGCCATTGGCTCTGTGCCCTGCAGTGTGCATGCTGTGTCGCCGTGCAGAGGCTGACCCCTGTGCTTCCCCAGGCCCTGCCAACAGCTCCTGTGCTGCTGCTGATGCGCTGCCCAGGGCACCCACGGGCACTGCTGGAGCCTCACACCCACCACAGCCAGCTGGGGTGAGACAGCTCTGCTGCTATGGGCACGGCTCTGGGCAAAGCACCCGCATGTCCCTGGGCTGGGGGCAGTGCCCAGGTCGGGCTTGGCAGAGCCTGTCCGCTCCTGGAGGGCTGGGGGTTCTGCTCTCGTCCGGCCTGGCCCGGGTCTTGGGGGCCTTTGACATTCCTGCTTGCCCTTAGAGCCGCCAGGGATGAGCCGGAGCTCAATGGCCCCAGCCTGGCCGGACAGTCAGGACTGGAGCCTTCCCGTGGCTCCCCAACCTCCAAGACCATCAGCCCCAGATTGGAAACACTGCCAAACAGGGTTTGCCAATTTTTTTTCCTCTTAGATCTTTGAAAGGCTTTTGGAAGTAACATTGTTTGGTGACTTCTTCAAGGAACAAAAGTGGCACGTTTCTATTCACTAAAGATTTTATTGGTTTCCTTGCATTTCTGTTTGGTATCCCTATGCTTCCTTCAGCATTCCGGGAAATAATGAAAATCTAACGAATTCTTCAGAGAAGTTTCTGAATCCACTATTAGGAGAAGTCTCTAAATTCACTCTTTCTCTTAAATACATCCTTTACATACAGTTAAGTAGCTGCTCCTGTAACATACAAAGATGTAGTGGTTTACCTGACTGGACACCACAACATGATGTTATACACACCGGTAGATTAAAACACTTTTGTTCCTGGGGAGTTGCAAAGTTGCAGGCTCTTCTTGAGGTCCTGAATTAATTCTGCATGCCCATTCATACCTGCATTTCCTCCCCGTGCTCAGCTTTCTCCTACAGTTCCCAGGGAACAGATGTTACATACTCACCTCAAGCAATAATCTACGTCGGTCTTCCCAACCCTTTTTCTTCACTGAACTCTACTGATCTACAAAATAACTTTGGGCCCTCTGTGAAAAAAAAAAAAAAAAGAACCAATTAATAGGCTTAAACACTTCTGATTGTGCTGCTGCTTCTAACAATCATGGACAACACAGCAATAAAGTCAGGAGTCAATTCTTCACATCCTTCCTGTTCTCTTGCCCCCCACCAGACGTTGTCTCCCTACAGAAATGTTCCCTACTGTGGCCTGGTGCCCACAGGACAATGAAAGGCAGCAGCAGTTTTCCTCAGCATGCTGCAGTCTAAATTGCAGTGAAATAGCCGCTGTTTCATTAGAAGCTCAGCACCAGGATCACACATCTTCCCCCAGAATTGGGGCCTGCTAAGGACTGAGCTCTCCATTTTAACACCCCCTGCAAATCAGACCGCCTGGAAGAGTGCTGGGCACTAACTGTATGAACACAGCAATACATTTCTGCAGCGTTATCGAGTCAGTCTTGAGAAACGCACATCATTTAAGCCTGTCTTAAGACTCTATTCTACAAAACATATAACAAGCAATTGTTTTGCTGGCCTCTGCAATTTTTGGGGACTCTGTGTGTTTCCTTTGGTTGTTGTTTTCTTTGTTTCTAAATACAAAATCCCCTGGATTCAGAAGAGAAAAGCCCAGATTCATTAGGACAAAGAACCACAGGGACAAGAACACTCAACATTCCTAGTGGTAACACCAGAAAGACGGGAAAAAGTTAAACATTATATAAATACCTGAAAGGATCCAAAATGTCTAGGTAACCTGTCACGTGGCTAATGTTTTGGTAAGGTCTAAAAGTCTAGATTCCTATTAGGCAATTCTCTGAAAGAGAAGAAAGCCAGAAATCTGCTTGGCCTTTATTTTACCAGGGCTTTCTCACGGGATTCTACCACAATTTTGAGCACAAGTAAGGATGCCAAAAGTTGACTAGAAAACATTCCTAAGCAGGCAGCATTTTTTCCTCCTCATGGAATTCCAGGAAGAATTTAAAAAAATACAAAAGGGGGCGAAGAAATTCTGTCGTACCTCTTAGGCGTTCATCATCTTTGGAGAAGAAGAAAACTCTAGCACTTTCTGTGCGTGGTAAAGAAACAAACCTAGACAAGTACAAAGGGATTTTAGCACCCAAAATTGTGCTATCAAATGCCATGAAAGCAAGTTAAAACTGCAGTGCTTCAGAGAAATGGTATACATTGAAAAGCTTTATTCCCTAGTAGCCAAATAGAGCCTTCTAGAAAAAAAATAAACAACTTCTTAACAGAAAACTGACTGTGTCTTTGGCTTCTGGCCAAACTCAGTTTGGAGTTGGTCAAACCAAAATGAGCCAGTTAATTTCTTGTGCTCAACATCTCTCTTTTCATATTCAACTTCACATCACATGGGCTGCTGGGAGTTTTTACTCTGGGCAGCACAAATGGTTTTCCAAGATGACTTTCATTGCTCAGAGGTGTGCAATCTCAGTTTCCCATTCCCTGAGTGCTGCTATTAATATTCCCATAGCATCCAACTACTACAGCCAGGTAGAGAGCAAATAGAAACGGAACTTGCATTTCTTGGTCCTTTTCAGTTTCTCGCGTCTCAGGCTCATCATCACCCTCAGAACTGCCGTCTTGGAAACGTGAATCCTCTTGCCATGTGACTTTTACCGGCTTTATTGTTCCGAGTCCGCGAGGCTCTGCAATAAGAGCAACAAAAAAGAAACAAAGCCACATCCAGATTGTTCCTCCACTTGTCAGGAAGAATTCCTCCTTTCAAGACAAATACTTACAGTGGAGAAGACAGATGTAGGAAGGACAGAATCTGCTCCTGCCAGATTTTCTGAGCTACATCTCTGCTCCAGGATTTTGCACTTTGTTCTAGGGATCTCTGCTGTATTCTAATGAATGTATCGTTGCATTCAGAAGACACTGAATACCTTCTGAATTCAGCACAAGTGTGGGGGGTCCTTGCTTTGCATTTTTGCATTGGTTTTTTAAAAATATTTTGGATAACTTCACATGGTTTCTTTTCTCTCCTACAGGACTGTGACTCGATTTAATGTTGTTTCGTCTTCTTTTCATAAGGCCTCATTTTATCTACAGTTAGAACATTCCAACGATCATGTGTCATTCAGTTCCCTTTTTCTAAAGGTCCAAGAATAGAATTCAGTAACAAGCAGAATGTTCATGGATCTTGCGGTCAACTCCAGGATTTTGCTCCTCCCTCTACATTAACACACATTTCCTTTAAAATCTTGTTGGGTTCTCTGAAACTTGATATGACTGGTGTGTCACCGTTCTCCCTGTTTGAGAGATTCAGGGCATGACAACAAGCCTTTTCACCACTCAGCAAAAAACCCCATTTCCTTCTCAAAGCATGCCTTTCAGAATTCCTGAGATGCAAGCATGACTTACTGCTCATTAATCTACCACAGCCTTGGCAAGCAGAAATGAAGATCAAATTGCTTCTGCCTACTTACTGACTTCTACTGCTGAAAATCCCCTGTGTCCTGACCTTCTTTACACCACAATGCTCTACAGTGCCTGCCAGAAGCTCTTCCTTAGAAATGGCACTGTGAGAAGGGTTCTGCTGTTACCTTCTTTGATGCCCAACTCCTCTGTGTCTCCAAAGAAGGAAAACTTGAACGCGCTCGACTCCTGAGCTGCGTCGTTCTTGGGCAAAGGTCCCAGATGGTCATCTGGGGCAGAGTCCTGTGCATCCTCTTTGTCCCAGGGTATTTCCACAGTCTTTTCTGGTTTGTTCTTTGAAGCTCCAAACAAATCTTTTAAGTCAGCAGCAATAAAGTAATGGATTTCTTCAGACACTTGAGGCAGTGTCCCGCTCTCTTCTTTCTTCTTTCTTTTGGCTTTACTGAAATGAGTTTGTTCAAGGATAGCAAAACAGTGCACGACCTTTCCAAAGACAGCTTCCCTAAGACACACCTTGCTCTGAACATCTCCCTAACTGTATCCAAGCCCATTAAGGAGAGGTTCACTCAAGAGTGAGCAGTGGGGAAACATCTCAGCTTGGAGTCAAAAGGCCGGAAGAAGAGTCCTTCTTAATCATTTAAGTGACTTTTCACTTAATACCTGGTAAGACAGAAATCAAGGGATTTAGCACAAGACTACTTTCCTGCCAGTAGAAATGTCAAGAGCTAACACGGTTTTCTCACAGACCTGCAAATCGTAAGGTCCCTGTACTGACCGTTCTCACCTTCACTTCCGGCAGTGAACTGATGGACTAGAAAGAAAAGTTGAGGCTACGTGCTGCTGTTGGAGGTCCCAGTTGAGGCCCGACGCTGCTGGCGGGAGCGGTTGCTCCTGTGGGTCCTCCCTGATGGTGTCCCCGTGCGCCTGGGCATTTCAGCACTTGCTGCTCTCCTCCTGCTCCTGTCCTGGGGACTCCTGGACCGGAGAGGTTGATTTGAGGCCCGGCGCTGCAGGCGGGAGCTTCTGCGTCTGGGCGATGTCCCTGATGGAGTCTCCCTTTGCCTGGGCCTCTCAGTCCTTGGTGCTGTCCTGTGGCTGCTGTCACGGCGACTCCTGGACTGGACAGGTGGACTTAGGGCCTGACCTTGCAGGCGGGAGCTTCTGCGTCTGGGCGATGTCCCTGATGGAGTCTCCCTTTGCCTGGGCCTCTCAGTCCTTGGTGCTGTCCTGTGGCTGCTGTCACGGCGACTCCTGGACCGGACAGGTGGACTGAGGGCCCGGTGCTGCTGGCAGGAGCGGCGGCGTCTGGGGGATGCCTGTGAAGGTGTCTCCCTTTGCCTGGGCCTCTCAGTCCTTGGTCTTGTCCTGCTGCAGCTCTCACGGCGACTCCTCGATCGGACTGGCCCATTTGGGGCCCGACCTTGCTGGCGGGAGCGGGTGCGCCTGCGGCCGGGCCCAGCATGTCTGGAATGGCCGCTGTCCTCAGGCTCAGGGGTGCTGCTGTACATTGACCTTGGTGTGCTGGGGCTGCTGGTGTCCAGCGAGGGAGATGGCAGAGACTGCTGCCGTGCTGTGCGTTGGTGGCTGCTGCTGCTGCTGGTCTCTGCGGATGAAGCCTGGGGATCCAGCCCTGATGGCACTGGGCCACAGGAGCTGGGGCTGATGGCCTCAGATTCTGCGGAGCCGTGAGCAGGCTCCCGTCCTGACTGACTAGCCAGCCGGGGGCCACTGAGCTCTGGCTCATCTCTGGAGGCTGTAAGGACAAGCAGGAATGTCAAAGACCACCCAGGCCCAAGGCAAGCCTGGCCAGAGCAGAACCCCAGCCCTTCAGGAGCAGACGGGCTCTGCCAGGCCCAGCCTGGGCACTGCCCCCAGCCCAGGGACACCGGGTGCTTTGCCTCATACCCGTTCCAAGACCAGCACAGCTGTCACACTCCCAGCTCTGTACGCTGTTTCTCAGGCCGGAGCAGCGCCTGTGGGTGCCCTCAGCAGCGCAGGAGGAGCACAGGAGCAGTTCCCAGGGCCTGGGGAAGCAAATGGGTTCATGGCACTGAGGACAAAGTGATTGTCCGGCCAAGCTCTTCTAGTTCTTTTCTCTTTGAGCCCTTGAAGTGACACGGGTACCTTTCAGAGCCTCAGGTGCAGCTCCCCAACTTACCCCTCTTCCTCTGCCTCCTCCCTGCCTCCCGGGTAAAGGCAATCCCTGGCATTGCACCTGCTGTGCCTCTCTCTTAGATCCACGAAGGCATTGTTGTCCTCCCATGTTGGCAGTCTGATATGGAAAAAGGAAAAGCTGATGAGTTTCTGCTGCCCTCCCCTCACGGAGGTACAGGTTGTCCCTGCTCTTCCTCCAGCGCTTTTCCAAGTCGTGCCAGAAGCTGAAGCCCAGACTCACGGGACAGGGCAGGGCCAGGACTGCTGGGGCAGGGCCTGGCACGGCACAGACCTTGCACCTCCTGTCCTGTGAGGCAGGCAGAAGGACACCAACCTGAAGGGGGTTCGGATCCCCATGATGAACATTTCGACAAGGAATGCCTCCTGGTCTCTGCACAGGGGGCACCGGAAATATAAAAGACCAGCGCTTATGGCCTGTCCCTGCAGGACAAACAGAAGCAGGGTGAGCAAGGCCCTGATGCTGCTGAGCACCTGCTGTGCCCTGGGGCTGAGGGGAGGGCTCCTACCTGGATGCAGTCCCTGTGGAACCAGGCCCTTTTGCACGTTGGGCACACCAGGGTTCTGAAGGTCTTTCTATCCTCCACAGGCTCCATGCAGATGGGGCAATCGGTGCCCGGCTCTGGAGTTGCCTCCACATCCTGCTTTGGACAGTGCTCAGGGCAGAAGGAGCTGGAGGAAAATGGATGAGCAAAGTGAGAAATGTTGGATCTTCCACCAGGGGTGACCAGGAGTGGGGAGGTTGTACCTGTAATATGGAATATACTGTGTGATGCAGCCACCCTCCTTGGCACAGGGCAGGTGGAACCATCTGTCACAGCCCTCCATGCAGCACATGATGGCTGCCCCGCTCAGGCCACAGACGCAGCAGCGCTGGAAAGAGCCAAGCAACCCCATCAGCAGCAGCCTCGGGGCCTCCCCAGGCAGCCCCAGGGCTCCGGGCAGGGCGCAGGATGTGGCCACTGCTGGGTCTCAGCCCACAGAGCCGTCTGGTGGAGGAGGGGGGCTCCTGTGCCAGAGCCTCTGTGCAGCTGCTGGGAGCCAGACTTTGTCCCACAGCCGGCCTGAAGGGCAGGCCTTTCATTCCTAGTGTCTGGGCTAAGCGCTAACAAACCTCATCTGGCACAAATCTCCCTGCTTGCATCAGGCTCTCACCTTTTGTGCCACCCGCCGCACTGCAATTTGGATATCTTGAGGAAGAAATCCCATGAGTCCAACATGCTTGTTCTCTTGACGAAAAAGTAGAGTGGCAAAGATCTGCAGCAGAGGGAAGGAGCAGATGAGGAGAGAGGGGCAGGAACTGCCAATTGCAATAGTGGAAGGAGCTCCCGGAGCCACTCACCAGGCAGTACAGGTGGGCACAGAGCCCGTCCTTCTCCAGTTTGTCACCGCAGATGTCCGGGTCAGCCTCTGCACGGCGACACAGCATGCACACTGCAGGGCACAGAGCCAATGGCAGCGGGCATGAGCACCTCTGCGGGGCTCTTTGGCTGCAGCAGCATCGGCCCCAAGGGCTGCTCTGTCCCTGCCGGCCTGCCTGGCTGATGGGCAGGGCTGGAGGCCTTGGAGAGCAGGGGCCATTGCGGGCACGGGTGTCCCAAGAGCTGCCCCCTGGCCCAGCTGGGCCCCACTTGGGGAGGAAGGAGGCTCCCAGCCGCGGCATGGCTGAGCAGCTCCTGCCTCCCCCTGCCTCTGCTCTGGGCTCACACAACGCCTGCCACAGGAGCCCCTGGGCCCGGCTGTGGGAGGGTGGCCTTGCCCTCACCTGGCTCCCTGGCACCAGGGCCCTCCTGCTTGCTGTCGCACATGGCAGCCGTCAGCAGTGAGTCCCTGTCCAGAAACGTCACAGTCTCCTCCAGGTGCTGGTCCTCTCTCTCTGTGGGAGAAAGAGGAGGGTGGGGAGTTTGCAGCACAGGCCCAGAGCCACAAGGGCACTACTCCCTGCTGAGCCCTGCGTGAGCCCTGCTCCTGCCCGCCTTCTCCTCCCGTCGTCGCCTCAAGGAACACCGCAGTCTGCTCTGGCTGTTCCTCCGCTGATTCTGGGCAGGGAGAGGCAGGGGAGCCTGCAGCACAGGCCCAGAGCCCCGAGCTGTGGGGCTCCTCTGGTCCCTGGGCAGCAGAGTCCCTGCCCTGCCTTCTCCTCCCGTTGTCAGGTCGCACTGACACACGGCCTGAGCCCAGCCTTCCCTTTTGAGGCCTTGGTTGCGCGGGTCACAATGGCCACTCTGACATCAGCATCGTGCAGCCAAAAGTGGGGCAGCCATGGCCTCAGGTTCCTGGCAACCACTTGAGGCGGCCCCCTTGGGAACCCAGGTTCTGAGATGGGTGCGAAGGTTGGGCCAGCAGGGAACCCGGGCAGGGACTCCTGCAGCAAGTGCAGGGCCAAATGCCAGGCCCCGAGGCAGCCATCGGGCACTGCTCTGCTGCTGCTCCTGCACATTGCACACAGACACAGAGCCACCTGCTCTGTCTCAACCCTGTTCAGCACTGGACAGCAGGACACAGTAAAATGTTCTCTTGGGTACATGATCGAATCATTCAAAGTCCTGCATAAAAGCAACTCACATTCAAAGGACACGCTCAAAAAAACCCCAAACCCTGCTACAAACCTTGAATTGAAACAAAAAGCATGTTCCTATTCAGAAACACAGATTAACACTTTGGCCAATACTTTT